GTGCATTTTGTAGCTAGGTGTTTTGGTTTGACCAAAAATCCTAGAAAACAAGTAACATACGCAGGGTCTGTCAGTCTGATGCTTAACCATTGGTTTTAAAGTGTAAGGAAGAGAAAAAGATATTTATCGTACTTAGTAAATTAAAATCCTTTTTTTTTTTAATTGGTAAATTTCTAGCTTATAAGACCACCACAGGCTCTTGCTGTAAACCCCAGTGTGCCCAGCAGACAAATCGCCTGTGTCCTGGCCTGCCAACTCAGGATCATCTGCCACATTGTGTGCTGGTCATGCCACTGGTGGTCTCAGCTCTAGTGCGCTTTAAACACCCACATGGGGCCTGGCTCTCGCAACTTTGGGGTATTCCCCAGGGATGGGTGGTGCCTGGCCCTTTCAGGCTGGCTGAGGAGATTCAGTTTCGGTGGGAGGGAGCTGGGCCAGGACAGGCTGCTGTCCCCCCAGCTAGCAGGACACAAGTGAGAGAAGTGAGAAGTGTCTTCCTCTGACCACACAACACTTGCCCTTTCTTGCCCTGCCCACCCTTGTGTTGTGGAGGAGCCTTTAACCCTGTGTGGCTGGGTTTTAAAGCCAGTAATCCTTTATTATTAGCATGTTTATCTTAAGTGCTTTATGCGGCCACAGCAACTGTGTATTTACAGACACGTGGCCCTGCCCTTCCGAGGGTATCCCTAACTTCTCGGTGTAGCTGTCACTTCAGGAGCTGACCCTCGGCGGCTACCTCCTTCCTGTCCGGGTCTGTGTGGCGCCCGGGCAGCTGTCCCAGAGAGGCATCTCTGTCCACTGCTCTCTTACGATGCGATGCTATGGGATGAATTGTGTTAAAAGTTACAAATAGATTTTTGGTACAACAAATAACGGCCCTCTTGGGTCAATGAAAAGTATGCTGCTGTGTCTGCTGGGTCTTCACTGGAGAGGAGGAGGGAGTAGTGGAAATAGTTATGGATAGACAGGTGTTGGCACTTTGCACAAGACCAGGTTAGTGGCTCCCAATGTCAGGGTGGCCAAAGTGCATCCAGCAGTTTTGGGCACTTATTTCTGTCACGATCCAGGGAGCGATGCTGGAGAACTTGAGCCACGGAGCCCACAAGTCTTTTCCTGCAGGCCTCCTATGGGGGCAGTGGCCTGGGCTCACCCTGCCCTTACTAGCTGGTTAACCTCCAAGTTGAGGGTAATGCAACTCATGGTGGTCCTTGGGTGGTTGGGAGGATAAAATGGTCGTGCATGCTGTGTGGCATTAGGAAGGGGCCAGGGAGGTGACAGGCTGTCCCTGTTAGCTGCATTTGTCTCAGCTTTGGCTGCTTGGTGAAGGGATGTGTATGCCTCAGATAAATGCACAACTGAGATCTGAATGCACTTCTTAGGAAGGAAATCATTACACACTTACTTGCATGCATTACGGGATTCAGTGTTCATGTTCTTAGCAGAACAAATTGATTTTAGCATATTAATTTGTGTAGCCCTCCCAGCCACCAGGGAGGCGCCCGAACCCCTCCCCATTTGTTAGGTGAGGAAGTGGAGGTTGGGAAGTTGCTGCCAGCAGGCACCTTGCTGGCTGTCATGTGAGAGAGCTGTTCCTCCCTGATAAGGACAGCACTTTAGGTGCCCATTTAGGGGTCCTCCTTCTCATGAAGTGTTGTTGTTCTCAAGGCTTTTGCAGCTCAGAATCTCTTGAGGATGTTTTAAAAGCCTGTCACAGCGGTCCTGCAGCACATCGGGGGAAACTTTGATCTGGATGGGGTTTGGTGGAGGCGAGTAGCTGCCCAGCCACACTGCTGAGCTCTGCTCTCAGCCGTGGCGGGGGTGGGGCGCTGTCTGGACATGCCCCTCTTTCTTGTGCTATTAATTTTGTCTTCCTTTCATCCCTAAACAGGAACAAATTATCAGTCTGGTCAATCAGATCTGTGGCAAAGTAGCTGGTAAAAACGGCAGCATTGAGAACTGTCTCAGTAAACCTACACCAAAAAGAGGCCCCCGCAAGAGAGCGACGGTGGACGTGCCGCCCTCCCGGCTATCATCCTCCAGTTCATCCAAAAGTGCTTCGAGCTCATCATGAAGATGCCAACACCCATGGTCGATTTATATATATTTTTTTGTAATTATATTCTAGTTTGGAGTACATGCTGTAGGATACAAGCTGTCTTTGCACTAGCTCTAAAGAAGATTTTCTTCTGGTTTTAGAGAACTAATTTTGTTTTAGCATTAAACTGTTGAACTTTTTTTTGTACTTAGAATACCTAGATACTGCAGTCAGATTTTTGAAACTGCCGTATATTCACTGTTTTAAAAACCCTTGAGGGGCGTATTAATTTGTATTGCCCCCATGGCTGACGAAAGCCTTTTTGTTTTGTTTTTTGTTTTTGTAACTGTTGGGGAAAAAAGGCTTTTTAACCCATTTTTGAAGAGGGTGAAGTTTGGAGAACAAATTTTAAAACCATCAGTCATGTGAGCAGATTTTTCTAGATCGGAAAAGGGATAGGAGACACAGAAAAAAACTTGAAAAGAAATGGCTTTACTTTGGCTGTCTTTTCTTCTGTCATGTGCAAGATGAGTTTGTAATTTTAAAACCGGAGAGCCCCCGTTTTGTTTCTTTGGGCGGTTATGGCAGCTGAAGGTGGACGGTGTTTCCTGACCACAGGCAACATGCGGAGGTTGGAGTGACTAGGTTCTCTCTACCAGCACATCACTATGCACCTGTCGAAGGGGAAGGAAGAGCGAGAGGAAGGAGGAAAGACTGCCTGCCTTGGAGGGGTCACGTGGGGAGACCTGTGCCTGATTTCATTAGGAAATCATTCTGTTATTTTTTGGTGCTGTTGGCTACTTTATCAAAAAAACCCTTCAATAGCATCCTAAAAAAAAAAAAAAAAAAAAAGGAAAAAAGTGATTGATTGAAGCCACAAAGGCTTCTTGGTCATCGACGTGCAATCTTTCTACATTCCGTCTTCATCTCACTGCTTCTGTCTCACACCTTCACACGTCAGCATTAATCGTTCTGTGCGTCTGTTTCGTTACGATCACATTCAGAGCCACTAGGAGGTCTGCAGTTCTTTTTGAATGTGAAGATGCATTTGCGCTCATCTTGTCTATTTTTTCTCTTCATGTTGTAACAAAAAGAAAAAAAAGAAAAAAAAGAATCCCATCCCTTTTGTACATACGCCTGTAAATTGTTTTAAATACTTGAGCCTTTTTCTCGGTGGGGGGTGGGGAGGGGTGAGGAGACAAGATGAAGAAAAGCCTTACATTTCAGTTTCTTCATCGGTTGGATTGGATGCTTACAGGGTTTTTCTTGTAACATTTATAAGTGCTGCTTACATCACTGAACAACAACAACAAAATAATAATGGAGTAGCTGTTGCCCTTCTCCGGTTGTGTGTACAGTATGTGTGGAATAAAAAAGGGAAACTGTTTTCACAAGCTGTTCTTTGTTTCATAATTGGACTCACCAATCCCGTAGCTACCCATATTGCACTGAGCTTGCCAGTGGTGACTGCCAGGAACGTCCTATGATCCACTTTGTTGGTTGTTGTTGCAGAAGACTGAACTGTTTTGGAATATTTAACAATTACATAAACAGAGTCAAGTGTTTTTTCCAATGTGGTTGTCTGGTTTTTATGGCCTTGCTGTGTACTTTTCCCTCTTTTTGACAGTAAACTTCTGCCTATGGCTTACAGTTTGACATTTAATTTATTTAGCGCTGCTCTGCACCCCTCCCTGGGGAGGGACGACTTCATGTGGTTTATTGCCAGTTTTTTGTTTACTTTTCAGGTTTGTACTACAAGGTTTAATAATAAAAACAAAGTTTTTTGGACGCTTGTCTGTCTTGTGGAAGATGAGTGCATGGAATGAGCTCTTTCTATTCTGATCAGTGGGCAGAGGCTACAACCCACTCCCCTCGGCCAGGGAGTGGCACTTACAACACCTTTGGTTCTTGCGTGCTCACGTTTCCGTCTGCTGGTGGCCCTGTGGCCGTCCCTCCACTCCCCCTCATTCTTAGTCGGGAATCTGTCATTTCTCACTAGGTGTGGGGCTGTGAGGAGTGGGAGAGGGGACACATTTCCATGTGACCAGTTTCTTTTCAGGAGAAAGAATGGAGTAGTGCTTTTGGCTTATGCTTATTTCTGTTCCTCTGGGCCCAGATGTGTGTTCTAGTATAGGCGGTTGGACTAACGAAAATTTGTAATGATCACATGAAAACCCAAGCTTTGTCAGCTGAGTTTGACTACAGTTAGTTCTACTTTAAAGGCAGTACACTTTTCTGCCTGTGAAAGGACATTCACCATTGTGTGTAGAACTGAGCTGTTGTGGAACCATACAAAGTTTTTTGGACGCTTGTCTGTCTTGTGGAAGATGAGTGCATGGAATGAGCTCTTTCTGATCAGTGGGCAGAGGCTACAACCCGCTCCCCTCGGCCAGGGAGTGGCACTTACAACACCTTTGGTTCTTGCGTGCTCACGTTTCCGTCTGCTGGTGGCCCTGTGGCCGTCCCTCCACTCCCCCTCATTCTTAGTCGGGAATCTGTCATTTCTCACTAGGTGTGGGGCTGTGAGGAGTGGGAGAGGGGACACATTTCCATGTGACCAGTTTCTTTTCAGGAGAAAGAATGGAGTAGTGCTTTTGGCTTATGCTTATTTCTGTTCCTCTGGGCCCAGATGTGTGTTCTAGTATAGGCGGTTGGACTAACGAAAATTTGTAATGATCACATGAAAACCCAAGCTTTGTCAGCTGAGTTTGACTACAGTTAGTTCTACTTTAAAGGCAGTACACTTTTCTGCCTGTGAAAGGACATTCACCATTGTGTGCAGAACTGAGCTGTTGTGGAACCATCGCCCAGCCCAGGCCCTGCCCTCCACAGCCACCTCAGGTGGCCCTCGGTGACCTGGGCATCCCTGAGCTGTGCTCTAAGGAACCATTAGTTACATCGGCCTTAATTAAGGGGGCGTGTATTTAGAAGTCTTTCTGTACAAACTAGCTATGTACTCTCTCTGTTTAAAGTCCTCAAACTTTATTGTTAGCGTTCCTTTCAGTTTCTCACACATTATTGGTGATTATGTAAAAATCAAAACCCCCCATCAAACAACCTGATTTCAAAGGTGGAATTCTGTGCACTCACTTGAATGTGGTCAGAGGACACAAACATCCTGATTTAAGAGTCGCTGTCATCACTAACATCCAGAGTGGCCTTTCTGTCAGGGTGTAAAGTGGCTAGGGCAGTGTCCACCTGAACTTCCTCCTCGTCAGACTGAACAAGGGGGGACTCCCCCGCTTCACTGCAGTCCTGGGCCGCGGAGTTGGTGGAGGATGAGGATGAGCATGAGGAAGGCTTGGCGAGTAGTTCTGATGGAAGTGGAACCTGAAGAGCAATTTCACCCTGACAAGTATTGGGTTCAGGCCCTGCAACATAAAGTAGGAAAAAACTATTACAATTTAGAATTGCCACTGAGGACAGCTGTTTGAACCTGCCCAGAATAAAAGAGGGGGTGCATGTTTTTGTTCCAGTGACCTGGGGTCGGCAGAGCTCAGCTGCTCATCATGGTGCAGGACCTGTCCCTGCAGGAAGCTGTGCCAAGTGACGCCAGAGGCAGCCAGGAGCCCTGAGCTGCCAGCCCCCTGTGACAAAAAGGCCCAGAACCCTTTAAAACTACATAATATCCAGTAAGATAGTGTGCTTAAAGGCCCAAGGGCAAATGCTTCATGTCTTTGGGGAGCAGTTTGCATAACCTTGAAAATCTAGATTTACTCCTTTATATCCTTTTAAGTAACTGAGACACCGATGCTAAGAGAAAGTCTCCAGTAAGATAGTGTGCTTAAAGGCCCAAGGGCAAATGCTTCATGTCTTTGGGGAGCAGTTCGCATAACCTTGAAAATCTAGATTTACTCCTTTATATCCTTTTAAGTAACTGAGACACCGATGCTAAGAGAAAGTCAGAATTACTGACCTATCAGCAGTTCTCCAATTGCATGGGAACTAAATAAGCTCTTATAGGAATCCAAACTAAGTGCAGATGATAGAGTCACATTTCTAAATCTCTTCTCGACTCTGGGGGAGGACAAATGTTAGTTCCCACTTCCAATGTTCCACCTTCTCAGGAAAGGGACAGATGCCCCTGAGTCCCCTCTTCCCTGGGATCATACTGGGAGAGAAGTTCGGAGGAGGTGGGAACCGCAGTAATGTAGAGCTTTCTGGAGCTGGCGAGGTACTGCTGGAGGACAGAGCTAGTAGTGAGATATATATCCAAACACCCAGCCAGAAGAACTGGTCTGAGATAGTGTGCTGAACCCCCAGGTATAGGTTTGGTGCCCCAGTAAATAGTTGCTGAATGAACATGAAACAGACCCTTGGGAAGGCTTGAGACAAGAGCCATAGCGCCCATGGGGTTGCAAGTGATTTTTAACGCACACCACGCCCTTTGCCTCAGCAGAGTTGAGGAAACAGACACCTGGTCACACAGGTACTAGGTGTGTGAGCCACGCAGGAGGGCCCCCAGCTCCATAGATTCCAGTCCTTTACCACAAAAACCCAACTCAAAGTACTTTCTGAGGTAGAGAAAGCCCCCTATTCACTGAAGAGACTGGAATCGGACACTTAGAATCTTTGAGCAAAATTCATGACTAAACTACCAAGATTTTGTGTGCCTCCCTACTGTTAAACCAAACACAGGTACAGCAAAGTAGGGTTTTAAAAGATGGATCTAGCAGAACAAGGAGTTGACTATGAGTCTTAAGGATTTGTACACTGTGTGGTCAGATGACTCTAAGGTCTTCCCTTTGGAAGGAAATGATATTAATGTCCTTGGTTAAGTTTATGCAAGTTTGTCAACCCCTACCTAACACAGGGGACAGCACAGTGTTATCTTCTCCACCTGAGTTCAAGAAGACATCCAGGGCCTCCTGGTCAGATATGTCCATCAGATCCATCTGCTCCAACATGTCCACATTCACTTCCATGGAAGACATGCTGCCAATGGGCTCTGGGAATAGATCCGCAACACAAGATGTTATACTTTCTGTCTCCAATATTACTACAAAAGGTGAACTTGGCATTAGGCTAACTGCACTGAATTTTCTAGGTTATATAATATCTGCTACTCCAAACTCACTTCAAACCTGAAGCAATGTGTGACACACTCCCTCTGGTACTTTATAGTCTGTTCTGTTTGGTTTTTTCAGGCTGGCTAGTACAGGGATCGAACCCCAGACCTTGCTGCTATCAGCACTGCACTGTAACTGTCTGAGCTAATGGGCTAGCTGTTATGCTGCTACTTTAAACCTGTCTGAAACCACCCTTAGTTATTCTGACCTCTTATACCTTCCATAGCTATTATTCCGTCCATCCCCAGGCCTTGGTGTGCAGGTGCTGCAGACAGACCCATCTGTACATTAAGCAGTTCTTAGCTGTTTAGAGCCAGGCCCTCTGGCAGGAGCAGGAGCTTTCTCCAAAGTTCCCACCACAGCACAAAGCTAGCAACCTCCTTCCCTGCCCGACAGGGATGGGATGTGATATGCAGGTACAGTCCTACCATTCCAGTTAAACTTTTCACAGCCTTGGGATATTTCTCAATCCCAGTAATTTTAGTCTTTTAATATGAACAGCATGAAAAGGTTTGTACATCCATGAGCTGAGAAGTTGGAACCAAGAGCTCCCTGTGGTGGAAGCACAGATGAGGAGAAAACGAGCAGCCCACCTGCAGAAGGAGATGTAGGAATACCACTAGTCTACCTCTGCTGGGGCACTGAGTGAAGGGTGCCTCACAGGCCTGGAGTTCATAAACCACCCATTTGGCAGAAAACCAGAAGCCAGTTAAGTCATCCCATGCATAATGGTGCCTGGAGGAAGCAAATGCAAATTGATTCTGGAAGGACATACCTTAACCTTGGGTCCCCATAGGAATGTAAACTTGAAATACAAAATCAATTCCAATCCAATCAGAAATATATAGCGCACATGGAAATAAGTCGCTGTAGTGAGGGTCAGCAATATTAGTATCCTTTCTCAAGAACTTTAGATGACTGTTTACATATTGTAAGAGATAAAAGACTGAATCAAAATATGAGGAAGTTGTCAAAAATGAGGACAGACCAAACATTTTAAAAAGAGCCAAATAGGCTGGTCATTTAGCTTACTTAGCTGGTTAAAGCACAGTGTTTTAAGACCAAGGTCAAGGGTTTGGATCCATGTTCTGGCCAGCCACCCAAAACAACAACAACAACAAGCCAAATAACTTCTAAATAGGAAAAATCTAATCACTGAAGTTTATAACTTGAGATGTGAGTTAAGTTGAAGATTAGTCAGAGCCAAATAGAAAATAAACTACAAGACAAAATGAATAAATTCCCTAAAATTCAACACAGAAATACAAAGATGGAAAGTACAAAAGAGCTTAAGAGATGGAAAAGCAACTATGTTCAAAGAAGCTGATTATTTTCCAGAAGCAGTAAAAGACCTGGGGACCCAGGTTTAGGAAGCAAAATATATTCCAAGCAAGATAAAAGCAATCCTCACCTACATCAATTGCTTTGAAATTGAAGAACATCAAAGACAAGGCTCTATAAAAGGCAGCCAGAGAGAAAGGACAGATTAGGAAAGAGAAGGAAATAATTAGGCTGACAGGAAACTTCTGAACTAGAATAAAAGTCAGAAGACAGTTCAAAGAGGTGAGGGAACACCACCTCTAAAATTAGATAGCACTTAAGATCAAGTATAAGATACGAGCAGTCAGACTAAGAAAAAGCACCCTTATCATGAACCTGCTCTTACTAAATGTACAAAGAAGGAGATGGTTAAATGAATCCCAGAAAGAAGGTCTAAGTTCAAGAAAACATGGTGAGACTTACTTGTAAGTTTGTGTGAGTAAATCTAAAACTTTGAATGAAGTAATCATAAGGGGAGTTACTGGGGCAGAATTAAACTACTGAACAGTAATGATGCAGAAGGCAGGAGCAGAAGGGTGAAGCAGTGTAAGATCTCTATTTCATTTGAGAGGAATGTGAGAATCTGATTATCTCTAGGCACACAAAGTCACTTAAACTACTGAACAGTAATGATGCAGAAGGCAGGAGCAGAAGGGTGAAGCAGTGTAAGATCCCTATTTCATTTGAGAGGAATGTGAGAATCTGATTATCTCTAGGCACACAAAGTCATTAAAACTCAGCACTAAAATAAGAGGTAAAGAGTTTATAATTTCTACTGTTAGATAAGGGGAAAGATCCTTATAGTTTAGACGATTCCATGCTTGCTGGCAACAACCAAAGCAATGTAATCAGGAGCCAGCTGAAGTCAGACTGCTGTGTCTCAGACTGACCAGGGAGTTGACCTTGGACACATCGATGTCACAGCTGTTTTACAGCCTGTCTCATCCTGATATTCACAAGGGACACCAGCACCCTGTCCTTGATCTTCAAGGCTGGCTGGTCAGGGGGAGCTTGATGATGGCTCCCCTTGTTCCCCTTGGGGGCACCTTCCTGAGGGTGCTCGGTGGGTTTCAGCATGGCCTTTCTGGGTTTTGCTTTGACTTCAGTTTTCAAAGGGGTAGAGGCTCCCATTTCTGTCTGTGCCATCTTAAAAAGGGCAGGAGTATAACTTTTAAAAGAGAAAAAATTGGACTAAAAAGCATAGAAAAGTTTTTGGGAAAACAGCACCAAAGAAGACGGTAATGAATGCCAGTAATCACCGTAAATGTAAATGAACCCCACTTGCCAGTTAAAAGAGATGAAAGGACTAAATTAAAACAATGAAATCCAGCTATATTCGGTTTATAGGAAACACTCCTGAAATATAGAGACAATTTTTTTAAAAAGTGGGAAGTATATAATGGGCAAACAAGTAATTTAAGAAAAAAACCTGACATAGCTTTATTAATATCAAACAAAATGGATTTTAAGGGAAAATAAAAGCAATATTGGGATAAAGAATAGTATTTAATGATTGTTAAAAGGTTCAAATTCACCAGGAACATAATTCAAAACTTCTGCGGTCGGAAAAACACTTTGGCAGTTTTTAAAGTAAAAAATGGCAGAACAACCACGAGAAATGACATCCAAATCTTGGCTGGGGGCGGGGTGAATGTTAATATACCTTTTTTCTTTTTTTTTCTCTCTTTTGGACTGGTCGGTACAGGGATCTGAACCCTTTGATAACACCATGCTCTAACCAACTGAGCTAAGCAGCCAGCCCACGCGAATCCAAATCCCATTCTCTAATTATAATGGAATTTAATAAGAAATCCACAATAAAAGGTGACTAGAAAAACTTTCACATTTAATTATTCTAAAACACACTTGTATAAACAGCTCACAAGTCAAATAAGAAATTTTAATTAAAAAATTTAAATGCCCGCAATCTATTACATACTGTATGAAAACTTGTAGAATTCAGTTAAAATGTTACACCAGCCAGAAATTCATAGCTTTCAATGCCTCATTAGATTAGAGAGAAAAACTGAAAATAGAACCTAAACATTCAGCTTAAATTAGAAAAAAAACCAGAAATGCCCAAAGAACACAAAACTAAACAGGCAAAATTAATGAACTAGTAGAGAGGAACAACAAAAAAGTTGGTTCCTTAAGAAAAAAAAAAACTTACAAATGAATATGTTGTGGGCAAGATTCATCAGGAATAGAGAGAGATAAAAGGCACAAATTAACAACTGTAGGAATGCAAAAGCAAACCTACCCACAAATACAGCAAAGTGTGGAAAGATTACTATGGACAATGTTATGCTAATATATGAAAGCCAAAGACAATTCCATAGAAAACTTGACAAAATTACAAAGGAAAGAAAATCTCTATAATCATCAAAAAGACGACCAGGTAAGTTCTTCAAAAACTGGTGCCAGACAGTGAGCCAAGCTCCACCCAACCCTCGGGAATCAGTGATGAGATGTGCGCTTGCAGAAAAATCCACTATCAGTAAAAGGTCCGTTCTCCCTCAGTCCAGAAACTTAATGCAATTCCTGTCAAACTCTGCGCAAAGTTTTTCAAAGAACTTGAAACTTTAACATTTACACAAAAGGACAAAAAGCCGAGGACAAAGAGCCAAGAATAGCCATGGCAACTCTGAAGAAAAACGAATGGATGAATATGTGCAGGGTAGGTCTCAGGCCAATCGTTCTAGCAGATATCAAGACTTTCTTATAAAACAGGGTTTCTCAGCCTTGGCACTACTGATACTTGAGACCACATAATTCTTTGCTGTGGGGCTGTCCTGTGTGATGCAGGATGTTTAAGAGCACATCCCTAGCCTCTGCCCACTAGATGCCAATAGCACGCACTTACTCCAGTCACAACAAGCAAAATTGTCTCCAGACATTGCCAAGTGTCCCCTGGGGGGCACATGTATCCTTAGCTGAGAACCATTGCTTGATGAATAATTAAAAGATAGAATGGTTTTGGTTCAGGGCTGGACAACAGAAGAATGGAAGTGAAAAGAGATTCTAGAAAAGACTCATGAATGTATGAACACCGATATACAAAGGTACTTTAAAAAGTTCATGGAAAAGTAGAATTTAAAGATAATACAAATCTTTCCATGAACTTTTTCACGTACCTTCACAGACAGAAAGCAGCATGAAGCAGTGGAAAAAGGATGATGGTGCTGAGACAAATAGTTATTGCCATGGAAAAAAATTAAAATTAGATCCCTACCACAGGGCATACACAAAAGCCAACTGGCAGCAGGCTAAAGAGCCAAATAGAAAACGGAAAACATTAAAACTTTCAAAATAAAACACAGCAGAATGTCCTCGTAACTTGGAGTTAAGGATTTTTTAGACAAGACACAAAAGCCCAAACCATAAACAATAAAATGGGTAAAGATGATCACCTTAAAAATAAACTTTGATTTAGCAAAACCACTCTAAAATAGGTAAGATAAGCCACAGACGGAAAGAAGTTGTCTTCATTGGATAGAATCAAAAGGTTAATATCCACAAGTGTAAGACTCAATAAAGGAAGACAAACTAAACAGAAAAAATGGGCAATCAAGGAAATTAACAAGGAAATCAACATTAAGTTAAAACCAGAATAAAATGTCATTTTATACCAACAGATTGGAAAAGCTTAAATATCTGACACTATCAAACACTGGCAAAAACGTAACCAGAACATGCACACATGGCTAGGGAGATTGTAAACTGGCATAAACATTTTGGAAAGCAATTACTTGTTCATGTTACGCGAGCAGAAATTACTCTCCTAGTTATGTACCCTAAAGAAGAGGTTCTCAAAGTGTTGTCCCCAGATCAGCCTCAACATCATATGGGAATTTGCTGATAATACAGAGCCTCAGGCCCCACCCCACACCTACAATCAGAAACCCTGGGGTGGGGCCCAGGAGTCCACTTGTGAACAGCCCTCCAGGGGATTGTGGGGCAGCTCAAGTCTCTGCCCTAAGGCAATTCTTGTGTGTATGTATGGAGAGAGACATTATAAGTGTGTGCACACCAGCAATGATTTTAATTAAAAAAAAAAAAGTACTGGAAACAGACCCATCAATACAACAATGAATAAATTATATTTATTCAGTGGAAATATATTTAAGAATGGAAGTCAACAAATGAGAGCCAAGTGTATCAGTATGGATGGTTCTCAAGGTGCCTGCCAGAGAAAGCAAGGTGCATAAAGATACATACCATGTAATACCACTTCTGTAAGGTTTTAAAACATGCAAAGTGTACCATATATTGTTTTGGAATATGTATGTGTGTAGTAAAGGTATGACGAAATACAACGAATGGCAAAGGCCAAATTCAGGATGGTTATCTCTGGAGGCAAGGAAGGGGGATGTATTCAGAAAGGGGCATGGGAGGGGGGTGCGGGGGAGTTCGCTACTGTGTTGGTGATGTTTCATTTCCTCAGCTGAGTGGTGGGTACATGGATACTTATATCACTCTTTATGCCTTCTTGCATGTCTGGAACCTTTCAGAACATTTTTTAAAGATCTGAAGCAAATATGGTAAAATATTAATGTTAGATCTAGAAATGTGGATATGTCATTATTTTCAGTTCTTTTCTGGATATCTAAAATACTTTCTAATTAAAATGAAAACCAATAATGAATCACAATAAGTCTCAAAGTTCTAAGTAAAACCCTCAAGAGGAGATAATTATACCAAGTTAAAATCATAAGCTGGCAACTGGGTTTTGAGGTAGTTTTGCATTCTAGAATGTATCTTGGTGGACATTATGTGAATTTTAGTATAGGTGCATTTTTATTTATTAATTCTATCTTTTCTAACTTTATTATTAATTTTATCACTAGCTCAAACATCACCTCAGTCTCTTCCCAGGGCACTGGGTCCACTCTGGAACATCTGGGCACTGGGGAGCACCCCTGACTCCAGGGGATTCAACTTTTAGATCACAGGAACTTGGAATCTAACTGTGGAAATACAAGGAACCAGAAAACACGGGTACAAAGCAGGCCATCTCCAGAGTGATCTGTTAATAACTAATTGTGGGCTGGCTGTTTAGCTTGGTTAAAGTTCAGATTTGCAACGCTAAGGTCAAGGGTTCAGTTCCCTGTACTGGCCAGCCGCCCAAAAAATAATGATAATAATATTAACTAACTGCATTGTCAGGATACCCTGAAACTCAGCAATAAAATGAAAACAATAAAAATGCTTTTCTGAGAACCTGGGAGTCGTACCAGGTGGAAGATGAAACATGAGCCACGGTCTTACGAAGTACCTAATTATGTCCTAATCACACTTAGAGCTCTGCTGGGCACGTGGTGGCTGTCATGGCTCTGTTCCAGGTCCCAGGTCCCCCCCTGCTTCTCAGCACCCGGGCACTGCCCTGGCTCTCCTCAAGCCTGAGAGGCTCCCTGTTCTGGGTTTGTCCAGCCTTACCACGATCCAAGTGGTCACAGATGTGCCTTCACCTTTTACTCAGATAATTTTCTGGATAAAACTTTCCATGGCCTTGTCAATTAAAAAATGATGCTTTTGAAGGCGAGAAAAATTCAGACTGCTATTTCTGATTTAGTGGAATGAGTCCAAAATTCCATGTTCTCTGTAATTTTGTTTTGACTGATTCCTCTAAATTAAACTTTCTCATATCTCCTTGAGAAAGGGAGGTGTGACCTGCCAGGCTGGCAAGTCTGAGGACACCCTGAACAGCCCTGTGGAAAGATGCCTGTCTGTGGATATCTTTTCAGCTCTAGGTGAAACACAAAGCTAAAATACCACAGGCTTCCAATTTATTTCAACATTTTCAAAACTATACACATTTGGTAACATGTGTTTGACTCCATTTTTTTTACCTTTAAAAAAAAAGTGAGCCCAACCTTTTTCTGAAAACTTGAAGAAAATTATTCTTGAGATGCTCTACACCACAAAAATTACACCGCTTAATATTTAACAACAAGATTTGCTGAACACATTCTCTTCGCTGGCACTGTACTCTGCTGGCCAGAAAGGCCACTGCAGGTCACGGCCCAGTCCCTGTCTCAAGGTGCTGCTGTCAACAGAAAGAGCTACCTCTGAACCTGTCACACTTCTGCTACTTCACCCTCCCAATTGGTTGTGTGTCCATGTGTCTCCCTAGGAGAATGGGAGCTGCTTAGAGGGGACTTACATCTTCTCTCTACCTCCTCTGGGCTTAAAAGAACACACTGGCAAGTGCTACACTAGTTTCTATGACTGTTCTGTTCACTGTCCCATCTCCTCTGCAGCACGAGTCACTGGTGCAGTGTCTCACTATGCTCACATTTGCATGTCAGCTGGAGTGTGTGTATCTGAATGTCCCCCCAGAATTCATATATTGAAGCCCTAACCCCCAATATGAGGGCATCTGGAGATGGGGCCTGTGGGAGGTGATTAACATTAACAAGACCCCCATGATGAAGTTAGTGCCCTTACAAGAGGAAACACCCTGGAGCTTCCCACCCCCACCCCACCCCCAGGCAACGTGAACACATGGTGAGAAGGCAGCCAGGAGGAGCACCCTCACCAGAACCCAACCATGCTGGCACCCTGGTCTCAGATTTCAAGCCTCAGGAGCAGGGAGAAAAATGCTGCTGCTGAAGCCAGTCTATGGTATTTTCTTATGGCAGCCTGAGGTAAGACAGTGTCCTTCTCAGCTCCTGCCCCCAACAGGACACGAATCTCTGGAGCAAACCCTCTTCATCCTCCCAAAGGAACTGAGAAAGAAAACTCTTTATAACCAGCCCCAAACACTACAGTCCCTGAATACTGAACATGCTCTGAGGAAACATGCAGCCTGACCTTTCTAGATGAAGACAGGCTCTAGATAAGCAGGGAACAAAAAAGGAAACAGCTGGCTCTGGAGACAGAGACGTTAACCTTCAAATCCACGCAATGCATCGGAAGTTAGAAAGGCATTCTCCACAGAAGTGACCATCTGCACCCATCAGTATATTCTGCGGCATTCAGACACTGCTACTAAGCAGTTTTCTCTAGATTACTTTCCTTCCTCGTTCTTTGATTTCTTTGACCTCTCCTGGGAAGGGACACAGAATTGGATGGCAAGGCAGGAGCAGAGTAAGAGGAACACAGATTGAGAGGGGGCAGGGCACAGGGCACAGAGCACGTGAGCCAGGCCAGTAAGCCAGGGAAGAGTTTGAAGGATGAAGGCTGAGGACGGAGGTGTGGGGAGGAGGGGGGTTCCAGGAAGAGACGAGGTACTGAAGAGGGCAGGAAAGACAGGAAAGACCCAGACGTGTCTGCAGGCTGCCCTGGGCACTGTGCCAGCCACTGCCCTGCCCAGCCAGCTGCTCCTTCTGAGGCACCCAGTTCTTCGAAGGAGAGGCCGGAGGAAGGAGTCCAGCATCTCGCTATCTCCCTAATCGGTTTGCTCATTTCTGCATCTGAGTGTTCGGAACTGGTTATTAGGGTGCAGACTGTGATGAAGGTGCAGTTTTTAAAACACACCCTTTCAACGAATTTCTAAAAACAGAGAAAAGAGCCCTACACAACATTACGACAAGTTCAAAAGAAGCCATGTATACATGTACGGTTTGATACCATTACATAAAAAGACTGAGATGCACAAAGGCTGGGAAGAACGAGACTAAAACAGTACTAGGGATTATTCCGTGCTGTAGAATTATGGTTAAATTCTCTTTTGTTCTACGTTTTATAAAAAAATTTCCAAGTTTTCTATAAACATAATCGTGTTTGTAATTTTAAAAGGTATTTTAAAAAAAATATTGCCAACTAAAGCCCAGCACTATAGGAAGAGGCAAAAGAAGGGCAAGACCTGGCCTGACACACATGCTTTGATTTTGGGGTGTAACACAATGGGACTTCCGAGGGCCTGGTCCCACGCCCACTGTCCAGGAGTGCAGCCAAACACTGTCCCGGGGGAGGCCCTGCTGCCAGCAGGTGTCCCCCACTCGCCTCGCCTCTCCGCAATCTGCAGGTAGCCAGTGGAAAGGTACTGCTCCATGTCCTGCTGGAAGGCCTCCTCAAAGAACTTCTGCCGCTCCTTCAGCTTCATCTGCTGGGTGTGCTCCATTTCCAGGACCTTCTGGGCGTGCTCGGCATCTAGTTCAGCTAAGGACACAGAATGGTTCAGGTTAGGGCTTGAAAGGGTCCGAGATAAGAAATGGGTACAAATAGCTACTCACTTCCACCCTCTAAGCTGAGGGTGATGCGTTGCATTGACAAACTTGAACTGGCGCTCCGACTGCATGTACAGCAGCCCCCAATCTGCTGTACTTCCTGCCATTACCTGTCACCTGGGTACTGAGGCCCTTCATTCCACACCTTTCTATGTGTTGTTCCCTCTGCCAAAATGGCCTTTGCACCCACATCGCCCTTTCTCAATGACAAGCAGCAGTACGTCCTTCAAGACTGACTTTTTAGATGATCCTCAGCTTACCCAGGTGGAGTCTGTCACTGCATCCTGATGTTGCCACACCACTATGTTCAAACTTTTGTAGCTGACTTGTAAATTACAGTAGGTAAAGACTTGCTGTTCCTGGAGGACTATGACCATATTTTATTCATTTTAATATCTTGTCCCCCAGCTCAGTGCCTGGCACATAGTAAGTACTCAATAAACATTTGTTAAGAGTAAGCATATAACAAAGGAATACTATTCTGCCTTAAAAAGGAAGGACATTCTGACACGTGCTATAGCACAGATGAACCTTGAGGATATTGGGCTAACTGAAACAAGCCAGTCACAAATAGACAAATACTGCATGATTCCACTTATATGAGTTACTTAGAGTAGCCAAATTCATAGAAACAGAAAGCAGAATGGTGGTTGCCAGGGGCTGGGGGAGGGGAAAAGGAGAATTAGTGTTTAATGGGGGCAGAGTTTCAGTTTTACAAGATGAAAAGAGTTGTGGAGATCAATGGCGGAGATGGTTGTACAACATTATGAATGTATCTAATACCACCAAACTGCGCTGTTAAGACAGGAAATTTTATGTTACATGTTTTTTACTACCATTTAAAAAAACGGGGGAAAAAAAAGTAAGTGTGTAGCCATTGTGGTATATTATTAGCAAGTGTCCAGTCTTGGCTTTGCTGTTTCATTAACCATGCCACATGGCTAAGTCAGTTAACCTTTCTCATCTGAAAATGTGGGATAGAAATATTAAGCCAGTATCAATCGATGTGAAACTTATATGAGATAATGTGAAAGAGCTTTATAATTAAAGTGGCCAGGTGGCTGTTCAAGATAGGCCTGAGGCAGTAATACCAGGCAAGAACCACTAACAAGAACCCCAAATTTACCAGCTGATGAACCTTTCTAGTGGTTTAACTTTTCCTCAAGGCATGCATGGGGAACAGAAACAATGAAATCAGGATTAGACATTTACCATTACTCACCTGGTATGTGGGTCAAGGGTTATTTCTAACCTTTGTACTTCACACGGAGTGTAGGCAGAATGCTAAGGTGGCCCTAGACCTCTGCTCCCTGGTGCCCACCCTGCATAACTCCCTGGACTACGACTGTCAGTGATGTGACCCCATGTCTAGGCGATGCTCTGTGGCTCAGCTGACCTCACCAAAAGGGGAGTGACTGGGTGAGCCTTACCTCACCAGCCTCTTAAAGGAGATGGGGCTTTTGTTGGAGAAAGATGTGAAGTGTGAGAGGAATTTGACACAGGACATTCTCTGCTGCTGGATTTGAGGATGAAGGGAGTCACCTGGCAAGGACTGCATGTGGTGTCCAGGAGCTGAGAGCAGTCCCTAGCTGACAGCCAACAAGAAAACAGAGCCTCCATCCTATAACCACAGGGAAGTGGAACTGTAGCAGCCAGCTGAATGAGCAAGCCTGCAAGTGGATTCTTCTCCAGCACCTTCAGAGAGGAATGCAGCTCTGGACACCCCGAGTTCAGCCTCGTGAGACCCTGGGCAGAGAACCCAGTCACACCAGGCCTAGACTTCTGACCTGTAGACCATGAGCTGATAAATTCGTGTTCTGTTGAACTGCTAAGTTCATGTTGATCTATTATACAAGCAACATGGGACTAGTCCAAATAACCCATCAGTCTGAATTCCAGCTCCTGCCCAAATATGGCTGACTGAAGAATAAAAAACAAACAAAGCAGATCTTACAATGAACACCAGCCTAAGAGGTCCCCGCCTGATCAGCTTTAGTACCCCCTACCCCCCATTCCCAACACTACACTTCACAACATAATCCTGTGTGCATGATGGACCTCAAAACTCAGTAATGGAGTTTGTGTGATTTCAATTCAGGTATAGTCTCTAATATTTAGAATGTTCTGGCACTGTTCTTGTACTCTAATCTATAAAATTAATATTACCCAAAGCAACACAAACAGGAAAGTAAATTTTCCCAGTTGTACAAAATCCTATGTACAGTATTCCCTCTGTGTATGTTCCTCATACTGTGACAACTATTGTGTGCATTCTCTCCACTTCCACGTCACCCAAACTTCCCTCCTCTACCTCCTATCTGTGTTTCCCAGGGCAGTTTCACAATGGAAAGGGCACAGGTTTGGGAGTCAGCTCAGCCTGGGTCCTGTCCTTTCCGCAGATGCTCTGGGCCTCACCCTTCAGCCTGCCTCTGCTCTCCACCACAACCGTGGAAGGGATTGGGGGGGGTGTCCCCTCCTCTAGGCCATGCTACACATCCGTGTGTGCTGCTCAGAGTATTCTCTGAATCCTGGGCAACCCACAGGCCAGCACAGCACAGCCCAGATGTTCTGGGGAGTAAAGGGAGCTCTTAACCAAGGGATGACAGAAGTCAGTGTCTCAATGCCCAGGGCTCCTGTCTTCTGGGTGGGCAGTTCTAGGAAGAGTCATGAGCACTTCTCAGAGACCCTGCTGCAATGGCAAAGGCTCGCTGGCTCTAGCAGCGCCTTCAGCATGCTCCCCCTTGTTAGCTTTCCCTCTTCTGCTGTGCTGCTCTCCTGCTCCTCCCTGCTGCTTGCTGGGATCACCTCCCAAGCAAACTACCTGCAGCAAATCCGTGTCTCAGGCTGTTCCAGAGAACTCCAAGCCAGGATTCTGTTATCAGCTCTAACTTCACCTAAGTGGCAACTTGCTCCTCTGTACAAGTGAGTTTACAAACACCTACTTTATAAGGCTGATGGCAGAATTAAATGATGTAGCATAAGTGAATCACCAGGCACTCAGCACTGACCAACAGCTGACAGGTGATGTTAATACCAGCATGGTTTCAACAACAGGCTCTCAAAAAGGGAGTGATATGAAACACCACCAAGAACCAGGATTGAGTACGACACTCAGCCCCACTCAGATACTTAAGAATTAGTTACTTTTCAGTGCACTTAATAAATCTGTAAGGAATTTAGAGTGTACTCATAAGAAAAAAAAAATTGAACTGAAAAGGATGCCTTTTCATTTATTTCATTTCAGCTGTCAACATTTCTGTTCAAATGCTTTGTGACTGCCAAGTGCATTAGAATAAGTCAACCCTACAATACATTAAGTATGCTTCGAACACTTCAAAGTTCAGTTAATCTTCTTTTAAAAAAATAATTCCAGAATAAGCAGCTCAAAACCAAAGACCAATGTGGAAATCATCAAAGGGGTTTTGAAGAATATCTGTTTTAACTGAATTAAGATTTTCTATAGATACATAGACATATAACTTGAAGACATTTCATTTTTTCTCGAGACTTCTGCTTTAAAAGTTTGATTCATGTTTCTGAATTATTGGTCCTATAGTTTTTTTTTTTTTAATCTTATTTTTGTCTATACTGGAATGAAATCCAATCATGTCTCAATCCTCACGGGGTGGCAGGAGTGGGGGTGGGGAGAATTGGATTAGGGAACTTAAAATGATTTTTAAAAGAAAGAAGAAACAAAGATCACTATTTGAAGTTTTAAATGTATTACTCACTAGTTATCTGAAATATCTTCAACTGTCCTGTGTCAGCTCACATGTTATTTCAGAGCCCTGCTCTTAACAGCTCAGGGCTGACCGCTAAGCCAGAATCACTGAGCACTGAGTACAGTCACACTATACCAGCTATGCATCCAGGATGATAATGAAAAGCACATGGCAGGCATTTAAAAATAACTTTGCTGCTCAGCAGCTAAGAGAGATTCACCTTCAGCTACATGACTGAATGAGGACGTTCTAATTGTGCTGTGTGTCCTGAAATCATCCACTGAGCTTGCATCAAGAAACAACCAAATTTGGGAATGGTGAAATAAGGATATTTGAAGGAAAAAATTTCAAATCTATGGAAAAATATAAATTATAGAACATTTTCCACAAGAAAAAATGACCCTTGTTCACATTTAAGATGACATTTGTTATATGGGGATAAAGCCAAGACAAATACAAAGATTGAAAGAACTTCAATAAATGCCCTTAAGATTAAAAAGAAAAAAAAATCAGAAGAGCTGTAGTTTCTCTACCAGGAGATAGTAGTAATCATTTAATTCCGTTATTAACGCAGGTCTATGTCTCTTTTTATTTCAAGATCATTGCTCAAGTTTTATCTGACTGCAACTTCCACGCTAGCCACCACTTTCAATTTCAAATGGATAATTACTCAAAACAACAAAAAATTCTATTACTAGTTGTCTGGCTATGACAAGGGCTACTGCAAGGCCTGGAATCCTCACAGTACCAATTGTCTAGCTCTTAATCCTGTTCGTGATGCCAATTGTAAAGCCAGGCGACCATGCTAGTTGTCGCGGCTCTTTTACCTGCTGGTGATCCTGTACCGCCTGGGCCGACAGTTGAGCTAAGGCTGGGTCACCAGACCCCTCCACGCAGGTCCATCAGCTAGGTAACCAGCCACACGGTCCTTAGAAGCCAGAGGTTTGGAAAAACATGGCCGCACAGGGCGGGTGCCCGAGGCAGTAAAACACCAGCCACAGTGGCGCCTCCGTGCAGGCACACTTATTCCACCCACAAACATACAATGTTTACTGAACGACCCTGAACCGGCTCTGAGGCGAGGGGAGCCTGACCAAATTGTTCCATTTTCCCAACACTAGTGAAGATGGTATAAACAATTCTCAATTATGTGTTTTAATGGGGCATAAGGGTGGCACAAGATTTATGAAATTGAATTTTAAAAATCCAT